TTTAACCATCCTGAGCTCCCAAATGAAGGTGTCTCACCTGCAACTCAGCCTGCTCCTTCTTCTCCTCCGCCTGGCTCAGGAGGAAGCCTTCCACCAGGGCCACTGCCTGGGAGCTGGTCTCTGCTCCACACTCCCGCACCCAGCTCTCCATCTGCAGGGGCAGAAGCGCCAGGAACTGCTCCAAAACAACCAGGTCCAGCATCTGTGCTTTTGTGTACTTTTCTGGTCTCAACCATCGACTACAAAAGGAATGGAGTCGGCTGCAAAGTCCTCGGGGACCTTCATCCTCCTGATATTGGAAGCCCCTGAAGTTCCAGGGCTGAACTTCTGAAAGGTTGGATTTCTCCTCCGGGATCTTCTGCCCAGTTCTTGCCCAGATCTCCCCACAGCTCCCAGGCTGAACACCAGAAAGGCCTTTTCCAATTTCCTCGCTTGTTAAAGATTGGCTTTTCATTTTTTTTTCTGTCCAGTAATGCAACTCCAAATGGGTCCAGGGAATCTTGTGGATCTCTAAATACCTTTCTATTCATAGTACCATTCCTGTAGCTGTCTTTTCCAATTTTTTGTCTCCAGCAGGGAAGTTACAAATGGCTTCCAATTTCTGTATCTGAGATTAATTAGAAAGTGGTGGATTTAATCTCCAAATAAAACATATCATTCTAATGGAAAGGTATGTTTTTCTGGGCTCCATTACAGTGACATTTGAGCACTTAATCCCTGTGCATGTGTATTTGTACAACTGTTTGTACAATTTTGGAAAAACTGTTACACACAAAATCTACCTGCGCCTTCTATAATTTTGTAAATACCAAACTTAAAGACTCAGAAACCATGCCATCCCTAGAAGGTCCTAACAGGAAAGACTATAATGATGAAGCTGCTAAGGTCAATATTTTCAACACGTTCTTCAGTTCAGACTTTGTCAGGAACAATGGCTCATGCCCCACATTTCCTAATCGTACCACAATTAATTGCAACGATCTGCTACAGGTTGATTTTACAGAAAATAACATTGAAAAGGCACCACGCAAACTAAAACCATCTCTATCTACTGCCCCTGATGGATTATGTGCCTTTTTCTTTAAAAAGCTTTCCACTGCCATAGCCAAACCACAATCTACGAGATATCATTTAGAATCAGCGCCTTGCCCAACCTATGGTCATTAGCCACAGTTATTCCTATCTTCAAAAAGGGAGACCCCAGCCTAGTTGAAAATTACGGATCAATCTCATTATGTTGTGTCACCTGCAAAGTCATGGAATGCATCATCCACCAATCCATTACCCTTCACTTAGAGACAAACAACTTACTCTCTAACAAACAGTTTGGCTTTAGGAAAAATTTGTCCTGCAATCTAACTCCTACGCTGCAGAAACATTTGGACTACACAACTCGACCAGGGTAAAGCGATAGATGCAATTTACATAGGCTTCTGCAAAGCCTTTGATTCAGTGGTACATGACAAACTACTGCTAAAACTACGCTCTTAAGGCATTTCTGGGTTACTGCCCAAATAGATAGCTGCATTCCCATCTAACAGGCAACAAGTAGTCAAAATAAGGAGTGCCCTATCAAACACTGCACCAGTTAACAGCGGTGTCCCCCAAGAAGTGTTCTAGGACCCACTCTCTTTCTAATTCATGTAAATGATCTTTTCAATCATATTATAAGCAACTGCGTCCTCTTCGCTGATGACTTACAACTATTTAACACCACTGACAATACTGCTACCCTACAAAGCGACTTTGACTATGTGTCAGAATGGTCGAACAATTGGCAACTTCAAATCTCAGCCAACAAATGCTCTGTCGTACACATTGGTAACAAAAATCAGAACACT